ATTTTACTGTTTTTTGCATTGAAACTGCAATGTGCACAATCTTTTTTTGTAGTTGTGGCATCTTGTTGACATTACAGATGTAAACAGTATGACTTTGATAATAAATGCAAGTTAAAGATTTCAGTCACAGCATCCGTTACTGGCAGCACATCCTATGCTTGCAAAAAATATCTGTAAACTGAGCTCAGTAAACTAGAATTTGTATTCTCTTGTGAAGTGTCAAGAAAGAATGTTCCTCTCGGTTGTCAGTTTATGACAGTATGAATCGGTCTTTAAAACGATGCATTTGCATTAGTGTTTGAATGTCTTCGGGGTACAGGGGGGACTTCCCTTTCCTGTATTCGGACCTAATCGGTGACCACTCTTAGCAAAAGGCTGGTAGCTTAATTTTTCTCCAGTGGCAATGCTGATTTAAAAAATAAAAAAAAAAAATAAAATATCCTGTACCTTCAGTTGTGTCAGTGCCGTTCTGAAGGCCTGAACTGAAAATAGAGGGGGAAAAAAAAGGTTTTAAATCCAATGTGGAGCACTTCGGTGGGGGCCATGCACACAGGTGTATCACAGGGGCGAGGTGCAGGTGAAAGGCAGAAGGTGGGATATTTCACCTTCTCCTGCAAGAAACACAGCTTTAGTAAGACAAATTGAAAGTGATTATTTTTGAGTGGGAATTCTTGTGGCAGGAGAGCTTGAAGCTTTATGCCAAAGACAGGATTTCTTGCCCTCGCCTCAGTTTGAGAGCTGCGTGGCCTCCAAAATCAAACTCTTCTTGCAGTAATGGGTGGAAATGCTGTTTTAAAAAATAAAAAAAAAAAAATAAAATATCCTGTACCTTCAGTTGTGTCAGTGCCGTTCTGAAGGCCTGAACTGAAAATAGAGGGGAAAAAAAAAAGGTTTTTAAATCCAATGTGGAGCACTTCGGTGGGGGCCATGCACACAGGTGTATCACAGGGGCGAGGTGCAGGTGAAAGGCAGAAGGTGGGATATTTCACCTTCTCCTGCAAGAAACACAGCTTTAGTAAGACAAATTGAAAGTGATTATTTTTGAGTGGGAATTCTTGTGGCAGGAGAGCTTGAAGCTTTATGCCAAAGACAGGATTTCTTGCCCTCGCCTCAGTTTGAGAGCTGCGTGGCCTCCAAAATCAAACTCTTCTTGCAGTAATGGGAAATGAAAAGACGCTCTCCGTGTGGGCCTGGTTCTGTCAGCGGGACGTCGCTGGCTCAGCGGCAGCGGTATCGATTGCCCCTCGACATGACTTCTCCTTGAGGTATCTCAATATCATCTCGATGATACTGAGCAAGTGAAAAAAAATTCACCAACAGGTTTCGTTGCACAAAGCTGTCATCCAAGCTATGTCCCACCAGAAAGCCGTTTGAGGTGTAATCAACTAATTATTAAGCTAAAGCTTCTCCGACTTGTCTTCTGGGGAAAGGTCACCTGGTGGTGTCTGTGCTCTGCTTTACGATACCAGTGAATTGTGCCGCAAGAGCCAGAGCGGTGTCAGAAACCCTAAATGTGGAAAAATAGCTTGAATGGGGTGCTCTAAAAATTTTTAGAGCTACTGCATAGGGAAAAAAATGTTACAGCCTTTATCCTGGTCTCTTAACCCTTTCTCCCCTCCAACCTCCGCCCCATAAGCTTCAAGATAACATGCTCTCAGGAACGCCCTCTGCATGCTTCAAACCAGTGAGTTTTAGTTTCACCTTTGCTTTCTCAATCAAGAAAATCTGGCAGTAGAGGTTCCTGCCCTTTCCTTCTCCTGCCTCTTCCCCCCCCAGCTACGCTGACGGAAGCACTTGTGCCGTGAAACTGCTTAATCGAACTCGGTTGTTGCTCACCAGTTTTTTTTATATTACAGTTCATTAATGAAGTTTCCTTTCGCACAGCTGTGCTGATGGAAAGGTAAACTGAAGCGGGGAAGCGCAGGAACCTCAAAGCAGCCTTGCTACCGCAGAAAACGCGGCGGCGAAGCTACGTGCGAGTTCACCGCGTTCGGTGCCGCGAGGAGAGCGGGAGGCGCGCTCGCCGCGAGGTCCTTGTGAGGAGAGGGGGGGGATGCTGCTGTGCTGGAGGAGCGGATACTTCACTTGGTATTTTGTACTTTGGAAGGAAAAAAAAACCCAACCCTGCTGCATTTTGCTTCACAATAAAAACGTTCGCTAAGACGTCGTCGGAGTGAGCTGCTGAGGTACCGGAGCTGCTGAGGTACCGGAGCTGCTGAGGTACCGGAGCTGCTGAGGTACCGGAGCTGCTGAGGTACCGGAGCTGCTGAGGTACCGGAGCTGCTGAGGTACCGGAGCTGCTGAGGTACCGGAGCTGCTGAGGTACCGGAGCTGCTGAGGTACCGGAGCTGCTGAGGTACCGGAGCTGCTGAGGTACCGGAGCTGCTGAGGTACCGGAGCTGCTGAGGTACCGGAGCTGCTGAGGTACCGGAGCTGCTGAGGTACCGGAGCTGCTGAGGTACCGGAGCTGCTGAGGTACCGGAGCTGCTGAGGTACCGGAGCTGCTGAGGTACCGGAGCTGCTGAGGTACCGGAGCTGCTGAGGTACCGGAGCTGCTGAGGTACCGGAGCTGCTGAGGTACCGGAGCTGCTGAGGTACCGGAGCTGCTGAGGTACCGGAGCTGCTGAGGTACCGGAGCTGCTGAGGTACCGGAGCTGCTGAGGTACCGGAGCTGCTGAGGTACCGGAGCTGCTGAGGTACCGGAGCTGCTGAGGTACCGGAGCTGCTGAGGTACCGGAGCTGCTGAGGTACCGGAGCTGCTGAGGTACCGGAGCTGCTGAGGTACCGGAGCTGCTGAGGTACCGGAGCTGCTGAGGTACCGGAGCTGCTGAGGTACCGGAGCTGCTGAGGTACCGGAGCTGCTGAGGTACCGGAGCTGCTGAGGTACCGGAGCTGCTGAGGTACCGGAGCTGCTGAGGTACCGGAGCTGCTGAGGTACCGGAGCTGCTGAGGTACCGGAGCTGCTGAGGTACCGGAGCTGCTGAGGTACCGGAGCTGCTGAGGTACCGGAGCTGCTGAGGTACCGGACCTGCTGAGGTACCGGACCTGCTGAGGTACCGGACCTGCTGAGGTGGAGGCACTGCGGAGGGACCTGCCCGCCTTGGCCCGGCTCAGGCCCTGCCCTGAGGGCTGTCAGGCCCGTAGCGAGGGGGCAGGTGGAACCAGGCAGTGGCTCCTCTCCCCCCTTCAGCGTCCCTGCTTGCGCTGCCATCAAGCTCAGCAAGGGACAGCCCAGGCCAGCTTAGCCCAGGTCGGCCTTGGAGCTGCCAGAGAGTCTTCACAGAGCTGTCCGTGATGCCGAGCTGCTCCACTGATAGCCTCTTGCAAGGCTTAAATTTAAACATGATTTTTTTCCCCTGTGTTGAGCAGGTGAACGGATGTGTGAACTGAATGCAAAGGTTCTGGCTTTAAAAGCCACTTTGTAGAGTGACATGCCTTGGAGGCGGTTGATCTTTTGTGCCCAAAGTTAAACATGGGATTAAGTGTTTCTGCTCAGTAGCATGGAAGAAATATGCCTTTTGGTCAAGAGCTGCAGTCAGTTAAATCCAGCAGGCAATCTGCCCCAAGTTTTAATGCCGTTCTTACAGTTAATACAGATTTTTAAGGTATGCATATAATATCTAGCTTATTCTTGCTTGCTACAAAGCCTGGCCTCAGCGATGGCTTGGGCGGCAAGGTTCAAAGATAGGCTATGGAGAACGTTTCCTTCCTTGATATAAACTTGGCACTTTAAAATTCAGCAATCCAAGTTAGGTCTAACTACGGAGCCAATAAATAAGAGGGAGCTGAATTTAGAAGATGTGACTTACTAGAAATGTGGAAACCAGTGAGTTAATGTAATGCATGTCTTTGGGCCAGCAGGGTATGTGGGACAATTACACCATTACTTCTTCTCAGATGTAAAGTCTAGATTTAGCTTGTGGTGTTTGGCAGTGCCATCACGGAAGCCACAGGGCCGGACAGTGCGGCTCTTTACAAAACCTTTTCAACAGCTAGGAGCCTGATAAAGAAGCGGACATGTTATTGTTAGCTTGGACGCAGAAATAAATATTCTCAGCTTACAAATCGTTTTCCAAAGCCTTTTAGTGGCAAAGCGCATTTGATTTGTCCGTGTTTTTGTTTTGTGGGGTTTTTTATTTTTTAGGGTGAGCAGTTTGAGAGATGGTCTTGCAGAGAAAGAGTTTGGCTTGCACGATTTGGTCACGCAGGCCCATCAGGAACAGGAGGTTAGTTTGAGGTAAAAGGTGCAGCTTTTGCCTGACCGGAGGCCAAGGAAAGGCTGAAGAGATTTTCCCAGAATGTGGGAAAGAGGAGCTGGGTCAGTGCTGAAGGACCATTTTAGGGGAGTAAAGGCAAGAATCTACGAGCTCTGCATAGTCTGCTTTCAGTATAGGATGATGGACTGAAGGATTAGCCACGTGATGCAAGAATTTGCAGCTTGTGATCTCAGCAAGGTGCAGCAGAATTTCTCAGTGATCATTCCGTCATCTAGTGTCTCTTTTCTGTTCTGTGACTTGAGGCGAAAGGTGTTTGCCTCTGACTTCAGGCAGCACAAATACATACGGAGGGGTCCTGGGTTTCCTCCACAGTTGGGAGAGAGTTGTGTTTGGAGCCAGTTTTCCTAGAAAAAACGATATGCTTCTCATCACTGACAGATGTTTCAGCTCAAGGATGGATTTACTTGTGCATCACCGTTTTCATAAAATCAGGGTTCTCAAGGGATTGTGAAAAGTGTATTGCCCCGTTTTGGGCTGCAACTTTGGTTTTATCGAAATCAACTTGTAAGCGGATATAGTGCTGCTCAAACACGTAACAGGGTTTTTATGGATGACTCTTCTCAACCCAGCCTCCAATGTTTCTTGGCAGCACTTAGGATGTGTTCCCAGAAGACCAGTGAATATTGTCTATTTGCAGTATTCTTTCCTTTCTTCCTTGGCTCTTTAAGACTGCTGTCATCCTGTATTATGTGCTAACCTGATCTTACGTTTTCATTGCAGAAATGTCTCATCAGTGGCATATGGCTTATATCCAGAAGATACCCAGTTCCTGCAGTCCACAGGGGTACGGTGTATAGAATGAGCAGGCCTGTTTTAGACATCCATCAGGTTGGTTAACGGCTGAATTTTTTTTATTCGATTTTTATTTTATTTCAGGCCGCAGGTGGTTTCCCATTAGAGTACTGATCTACTAGATGTGGATGTGTTTCTGAGAAGCACCAGTTCTAGGTTGAAAGTTTCCACTTTTTAAGGTATATCTGACGAATTCAAGGAGGTTTGTAGTAGCTGAGTCCCAAGTGACAGAGTTCAGGAGTGGTGCTCTAGTAGCTTCATCTACCGCGTTGTTTCAAGCCTGGTTAGTGTTGAACTAACCTCTGGAGTTAAACGTCCTCTGGAGAAGTGGCTTTTTTAATGGCTATATAGATGTACTTCACGGGGCGTTAGAAACGTGTTGGACATCTGGCTGTTCTGAGGGTAAGCTGCTGCTTTTTCAAGGTAGCTGTATGTTTCCCACAACATTAAATATGTTAGAAGTGACCCAGTGCTTGGCTTCAGTAAATCTACCAGCTGGCTTTGTTTTAAATGAATGTCTCTTTGGATTCTACAACATGTAATGGTTTTCTTTAGTCTAGATGTTACTCTTCTGGAGGAAGAAAGGGTTTTATATCAGGTTTTGTGGAGAACATCAAACAGGAATTAGCAAAAAACAAGGAGATGAAAGAAAGTATTAAAAAATTCCGAGATGAAGCTAAAAAGCTAGAAGAATCTGATGCGCTTCGAGAAGCAAGGAGGAAATATGTAAGTCTTCCTCATGAATTCCTTTGATGTTTTCGTTGCCCAGCCACTGAGCTATTGCTGTTCTGAATGTAAATTTGAATCTTTCTGCAAATGAACTGTTTAGTTCAGCATCCCTATTTTTATGAGAAGTTCTGCTTGGCTGGAAATAGTGACTGGTAAATGGATGCCTTAGAGTGCTTTGTTGTTCTTTTTCTTTTTAGTGGAAAATCTTTCCAGCAGACCCTTCGCTGGATTTTGCAAATAACGAGCAGATAAAATAATGAGATGTTAAATTTAATGTTGGCAGTATTTAAATACTACTTTTGCATTCTTTGAAGAACTATAAACAGCATTACTTGCAAAAATGAAATGCTGACGCTGGTTACTCAAGTAGTGTGCTCCTTAGGATGTAGCTCTTTTTGCCCTCAGTTACAGCGTTAATGGGGTGTGCTATGTGCTGAACTGTTCTTGAGTATTTTCTGTCCTCATAGTTACATGCAGCATGGTTTTTTTCCACAGAAAACCATTGAATCTGAAACCGTGAAGACCTCAGAAGTGATTAAAAAGAAACTTGAAGAAATAACTGGTACAGTTAAAGAGGTAAAACACAGCTATGGAAGAACCTTTCCCTAAGGCGGTTCTGCTCTAAGGTTATGTGTTTTGTGTGCATTTGAATTATCACCCTTTCTTTTTTCTTGGTGAAAGGTGGTTGCTATTCCAGAGGTGATCACTATTCTGAATCTTTAAGGCCAGAGTCCTTAGCAAAATTGCAGCGATAGTGTATGATAGATTTCTTAGTTAGTGTATGGTCAGAGGACAGGCACTGTCCAGTGATTCCTCTCAGATTTGGAGACTGGAGATGGTCCTTATGGTTCTGCATTGCCTAGCAGTAAAAAAAGCCTCAAGGTGGTTCTTCCACTGGAGGGCAGTTAGAGCAACGCTGGGAGATCACCCTGGAAAGTTCTTTAGGAGACGTGATGCTCTTCACACTGACGCTTTTTGCTACTAATGTGATAGGGCTTCTGGCTTCCTACTGCAGGTTGAAACAGACTTGCAACATCAGAGGCTCCAGGTGTTGTAAGTGGAAGTGCTGGTGGGATAGTTGAAGTGCTCTCCTCTAAGTTAGCGTGCCGTAAGTGGTCCCGTGGCTCTGTGTGTCTTGGGAATAACAAAATGTCTGGAGGAGCAGGCATCGTTCATACCTAACAGGTATGAGTGTCTTCCATTCTAGGCTCAGACTTTAAAGGTCACTGTGTCTATGTAGATCTGCTTTTAAGCAGTTGAGTTCAAGTTATTTTTTCGGCTGGGACTAAGCACTGCAGCTTGCGCTCATTTACTTCATTTCTTGTCCGAGTTCATCTAGGCAGCAGATGTATTTGAGTGTTTAGTATGCTTTGACTTTTATCTCTGGAGTAAATTTCTGAGGAGTCTTCCTGATAGTGTTTTAAATATGGAATAAATCAGGTGCATGTGGCACCTGTAGAAGCTGATCTGCAGTGTTACGGTATCTGTGAATTCAGCTGGGCCAAATGGCCCAAAAACTGGGCTATTTGGGCAGTCCTCAGTGGGGTGCAAGACCTTTTATTCCTTATTCCCTCTTTTCTGCCCCCTTCTCAGCATGGGCGCCGTTGTGAGTCCACAGCCATTCAGCATCTCCCCCCATTGCTTCCAGAGGAGACGGGGAATGACTCACAGGACAGGGCCTGCTGCTCTGGTAACCCGGTGATTCCTGCGTGCTCAGCCTGCACCAACTGCTGTGAGTCTCCAGGGCTGCCACGAGGAGGAGGAGAGAGCAGATCCGGGAGAGGACACTGCCGGTCCTACTCACTCTTTTGGGGTGAAAGTGCCTGCTAGTCAGCTGGCTCTAAGACCTGCTGCTGGGTTTATCGTTAGCCTTCCTTCCACTGTAGACCTGTCAGTACCCAGGAGGTGGCACTGAGCTAGAAGAGTTGGAGAAGGGCTGTTCTTGCGGTGTCTGCCACCCTGACAGTTACTCCCAGGCACCCGAGTCTTGTTTATCCCTCCTACTGATTAGAGCAATTAAATTGCAACCAGCAGTGACTGAAAACTTACGGCCCTTTCTCTTAAAGGGAGTACAAGATTTTCTGCAGTAAGTTACAGCTGAGAGGTGCTTTAGGAGGCTGTTCCTTATCTGCAGCTGAGGTGTATGGACTTCATGCTTGTAGCTAGGCCTCTCTGGAGCGGAGTGCACTTACCTGTTTTCGGCAGCGGTTTAAGACCAAAGCCGGTGTGGTTGTTCCCAACACTTGCAGTCAGGTGCAGGATGCCCGCTGGGAAACAGCCAGCCAAACACCGGACTTAAACTCTGTGCAATATGAAGTTTGTGTGGACCCGGTCCTCGCTCTCTGCTGTGCCCCTTCACTCTCGTTCTGTCTACATGTGCTTTGGTGTAGCGGCTTAACTGTGTGTACAGTTAGGAGCTGAACGTAATGCTCTTTGCTAACGTGGACATAACCAGTATCTTTTCAGTACTCTTGAGGGTGCTGTAAGCATCTTTATTAGCCAAATCCCACTGAAAAACAGGGAAAAGCATTTGGTACTGTTATCCTGTCATTTCTTTTCCTCTGAGGTTGTAGCTTGTGACCCATCCAGGGTTGGTTGCCTGCTGCCAGTGAGATTTCCAAGATCCTTGAGGATCTGATGTGTGCTGGTGCAGAATGAAAGGGTGACCAGCTACTGGCAGAGTCCTTTTAACCTCTTGCATACGAGATCCTGGCTCTGTAAACACAGCCAAAGTGATGCATATGAAGATGTTGAATTGAGAAAAGCGTTTCCTGATTTTGCAGGAGCTATCTCAACCACTTCTATACCTTCTCTTAAGAAGTACCTGATGGTTTCGAAGGAGAGGGCTGGGGCATTTTAACTCTGACATCATTGGTCCTTCTCTTTGATGTCAAGAAAAATATTTTTTTAAATGTATGTGTAGCAGCTATTACAAATGCGTACGGTCCCATGAGAAGCCAAAATCGTTGTTCTGCACAGAGGTATTGGCTAATGCTGCAGTGCCAAGCCACGGTGTCGCGGTAAGTCTCCCCTGTGACGTGTAACTGTGTGTTCACCTTAGGTTTGGTCAGTCTTGTCGTGTGTGCATTAGGAGGTCTTTAGCATTCACAAAGAGGACTTAAAATAAGTTTTCACCTGTTTCCCCTGAAATGACCTTTTCTTTCCTGTTTTGTTTTGCTGCAGAGTTTGGATGAAGTAAGTAAGAGTGATCTTGGCCGAAAGATAAAGGAAGGCGTGGAAGAAGCAGCAAAAACAGCAAAGCAGTCTGCGGAGTCTGTGACAAAAGGAGGGGAGAAACTAGGCAAGACAGCAGCCTTCAAAGCTATTTCTCAGGTACGTAAGTCCTATGCCTCTGTAGGACCCAGCGCTGTGGACACAGCTCATTAACGTGGAAGTTATGTGCGAGTTTGTGCTGAGTATAAAATTAAATGCAAAACTCTTATAGCGAGACCTTGTGAGCCATTGGAATAAGCTGATAAATTCAGGAGATGTATTTTGCAGGTCGAGCATTCACTCAGGAATCCTAGAAAAGCGTAAGTCTCGAGCAGCTGAGCTTCTGCTGAAATGTGTTACTGGAAAAACTGGTTGCCGTGCTTGTGGAGTAGGGTAGTAAATGTCTTCTGTAGACAGGTACTGGTGGTGCTCTTGGGAACTACTGACTGACAAACTGGCATGCTTAAAGCTCTCCTTTTCTAGAAAATATGTAAGCGCTCATGTGTTTTGATGTCACCCAATCAACTGGCAATTAGCCTAAAAAGAAGCGTTCCCCTTGACTGGTTTCCCATGCCTCCTCTGAAGCATTGGCTTTAGCCCTTGAACGAGGAGGTCCCAGGTCAGACGGAGTATCAGTCGCATCAGTCATGTCTGTTCCCCTCTTTCTGTGTTTCTAATAAGACAGCATCTGCTAAAAGTCACTTCTAGCCATAGCTGCAGATCACATTATACACTCACAGCATCTGCTAAAAGTCACTTCTAGCCGTAGCTGCAGATCACATTATACACTCTTTTTTTTCTTTTTTCTGTAATGAAACCTGTTATCTTACTCCAGCAGCCTCCCAATCTAAGAACTGTTTGTTCTTTCTGTGAAGCAGGCTGCTAGGCCAGACCTTATAAGCAGGCAATGGTTTTATAGGACCTTAAAGTAAATTTTTTGAGGCTTAAAGATTTGTTTTCCCTGTAAATGGATAAACCTTTTGATTCATTGTCAGATTTAAGTTAACTGATTTACAGAGCTTTTATAGGCTGCAAGCAGTTCTCGTAGCTTTGCTATACTTTCTAGTATGTATGTAGAACTTAGAATATTGAGTCTACTGCTTCAGAAAACCAAATACGTTGTCTTAGAAACTGTAGTGGCAGTCTCATTTTGAGATCCCCATTGCTTCAGTATTTAGGAGGTATTTTATTTGTATAATCTAGAGCTAGGTGATACCCACGGGGGCTCGTGTCTTGTTCTGTTCTTGGCCAGGTCCCTCAGATGGTCTTTTACAGTCAGTAGGAACAGACTGAGCTTTGGAGCTTTTTATTTGCTTATCCTTGATGTTTAAAGTCACTTAAATTCCAATTTCTGCTGCTTCCTATCAGATCTCTGGCATCTACTCTGTCTAGGCCCCGAGCGCTGTTGCAGCTTTCTTCAGGAAGGAGTCACACTGCACTTTCAGTAGGGGAGGATGGCTTATGCTGGCAAAGCTGCGTTGGACATTGGTGTGTTCTCCAGAAAATTCCTGCGTAAAATAAAGTCGAAAAATAACAGCCCCCCCATAAAGCCACATGGTGCTTTGGGCTACGTAACTTACACGTCCTCAGTAAAAACACAGATTGGGAAAAAGTTGTATATGGAGTATATATAAAATCCCTTTCTGCCTGCATGTGTCTAGTTGTAATAGGAGAGCGTACTTATTGTGCAACCGATCTTTTGTAGGTACAGTCATTAGAGAAAGTACTGCTCTAAAGTTAAGTACTAAAAGTAGAGCAGCCAAGCTGAAGGAGAAACACTAAAAATGCCTTTTAGTCCCAATCCCTGTTGAAGTGTACGACAAAGTTCCCAGCAATGGTTGCAGTAGGATGCAGCTTCCTCTTGGTAAAATCTGAACTAAGGGTGTAGCGGGTCACTGATGAGATGTGTATCAGTCCAGATTTATCAAGTCTTTTTCTTGATGCAGCCTCACCCAAGAGGGAGAATATCTCCTCCCTCTCCTTTGGTATAAGCTGTGCTACTGTGATTTTTTTTCACATCTCTTCTCTGGCAAAAACCAGTTTGCTTCGAAGCTGCTTTCTCAGCTAGAAGGTGTGTAGAATTCTGTAAACAAAGTGAGGCTCCTTCTTGTTTTGGGGAAAGCGATGCTTCTGTTTGTTTAAGCTTGGGCCTAGAACCTGGATTTTATTGACCTTTCGGGTGGCTTCGCAGTTAGTTGTTGGTATCCTGAAGTCTCTTTTCCTCTACTTTTGGGTACTAGGAATCATTCTTCCTTTTACCTGGGACTTGTGATACTATCGGCAGCTGCTGGCTGCTGTTTGGTGCTGATATGTCTACCTTCCTCTGACTTGATTTATTCCAATTTAAACTCTGTAGAGGTTACCCCTTATCAGCTGTAAGGTTTGACTGTTTCCATAGCTTCTACTATATTGGTTTTTTTTCTTCAGGTTGATTCAATACAACCATCCATTTGCTGTCCTAGACTCTTAACTTCTTAAGCAGAAGTCCTTGGTACTGGCGTGTTTGTCAATAGGCATCAGCAAAGAAGCATTTGCTGAGTAAGGGAGAGGAGAATATCTCGTGGTCTCTTATCTTTTTTTTTCTTTTTTTTTTCTTCAGCAGAAGTGATTTTCAGTTTCTGGGAAAGGGCGGGGAATGGTAAATCAACCTAATAGGGATATTTTCCTTTCAGGGAGTGGAAACCGTTAAGAAGGAAATAGATGAAAGTGTTTTAGGGCAGACTGGTCCTTACAAACGTCCGGAGCGACTACGAAAAAGAACGGAATTCTCAGGCGAGAGGATTAAAGAGGAGCGAATATTTGAAGCTAATGAGTACGTATTGGATGTAATTTAGGGTGAATGTTTCTGTGTATAATTTGATAAAAACTTGAAAACTTAACTACAGGCCAGGGATGGTTAAAATCCAAGTGCTGAAGCGAGGCTGTGGGGTGAGGCGTGACCTAGCAGAGCAGGTAGGTCTGAGAGCAAATTTCCAGCGTAAGTTGATGATACTGAATCTTCCGATAGTGAAACTGGGCACTTAAAATTATAAAGTGGGTACATAATGTTCTGACACAGAATTTTGACTTGCACATGTGTTAGGTTTTCTCAGTTCTAACATCTTGCTGTTGAGTTACGTTTGGCAGGGCTAAGCCTGACCTCCTTTGCTTTCTCTACTGTCTTGCTCCACTAAGTCGTGTATCATTTATGTGGCGTATCAGCCTCAGTGACGCTGCATGCTGCAGTGATATTCGTCAGGCTGTCCTCCTTTTTATTCTCACTCGGCTGCAAGTTACTTGTTCACAAGTACCCATCCATGTCTTCTGCACTTTCTAGGGAGGCCATGGGTGTGGTGCTGCATAAAGACTCAAAATGGTATCAGCAGTGGAAAGATTTCAAGGACAACAATGTGGTCTTCAATAGTAAGTGTTCCAAAGACAAAGGAGTAGCACGTTATTTTCCCTGTTCTGATTCTTGCTGTGTTGGATCTGATGCCATCTGTGCAACTAGTCTCAACATAATGCAAATCATAGCAATTTATTTATTTTTTTTTTTTGCTGTAGCTGTTGCGGTGAGGTGGTGTGAATGGGAGGTGGGCGTAGTTGACAACATTGCAGCTTTTCCAAGCTGCTCCATCTGTGTTCGGACCCTTCCCCCAGTCAGGCATTGTTTTTGATCGGTCCCTGCTCCCTGTAGGTACCAAAACCTGCTTTCGCCATTGCTTAAAGAGAATTGAACTCTGTTCTTCTTTTTTCTACTTTTTTTTTTTTCTAGTCAGATCTACTCTGGCACTGGGAAGAGGCCAGGGCATGCATGCATGTATGTCACCAGGGAGAGGGCAGGCAGATCTCTTCTTCCTGACCTTGAGCTTATAACGAGGAAAAATCTTGTCTTCAGTGAGCTGGTTTCTGTTGTCATCTGCTTAGAACTCCGGAATGTGTGGGACTTTGCCTCCTTTCTGTTTTTATTGCAAAACCTAAAAATACTGAATATCTGTACTGCAGTGGGCAATAACTTTTGATAGTTATCTCGACACTTAATGTTTCTGAAAGGCATAAAGAAGCCTGAGACCAGAATCCTTCAACAAATCAAAATAATCGCTGCCAGTGTACTGCAGGGTAAACGACTTAAGGAACAAAAAGATCGTGTAAAAGTGCAACATATAATTAACTTTGGATTGTGTTTCTTCCCAACTTCTTTCAAAGCGGAGCTCCTTAGGAGGTATCCAAGAATGGGTTTTTACATCCCATTTGTTAGCCTTTCCAAGGAGAGATGCTCATAGCTCCTAAAACTCCCCACATGTTGCATCCTCCAGTCGTGTACCATCTGTTCGAGCTCTGTGCATTCTCTAGATTTTATGCATCTTTCCAAGACTGTGGTTTTGCAATTCAGGCAACGTTGCAGATGTGGCTGCACCAGGCTCTAATTATGTGTGCTCTCCCTTTATGTACCACCTGTACCGAGAACACTCTGTTTTTTGGAAGGAGGATAAGCTTCAGGGCAGGATTCCAATTATTAATTGACATGGTGGGAAGAAGCTTCCCTGCAGGGCCCATTATCCTGCAACTACCTTCTGCAGTTCTGGTTCATCTGATGATGTCCAGAGGCAGATAATGGGTTGGTTCAGCCCTTAGTTTGTTGCAACAATGCCTGCTTGCTTAAATAGCTTCCCCCCCTCCCCCCTTTGCTTCACCCCCTGCCCTTCTTTCTGCCTTTGAGATTTTGCTTTGTCAGAGTTCTCCTTCCCCATCAGTGACTTCTGTAGTTTTGTGACATGCTTGGCTTGCTTTCGTATCAAGGTTGAGAAGTACATAGAGCTGCTTAAAAACTGCATCCTTACTGATGTCTTGCTATTTTGTTAAAAATTGGCAAGGTTTAAGGTCTATTCTTGATTTCTCCCCCCCGCAGTTAAACTTTCTGGTGTTGGTTTCACATGGCTACATCCTGCTGCCCCTTGTAGCAGACTGAATCAAGGGGTGCAAGCAGGCTGTTACTGGTGTAAGCAAGTCTAGTGTATTTTCTATCTGAAAATCTGCGTAGAAGGTCCAGAGTTTCTGGCAGCTGAAGTCAGAGAAACCATCATTCTCCTAGTGACAGTTATTGATAGCTGAGAACATTGCGGGAAGATGAGAAGAGGCTACATCCTGCTGCCCCTTGTAGCAGACTGAATCAAGGGGTGCAAGCAGGCTGTTACTGGTGTAAGCAAGTCTAGTGTATTTTCTATCTGAAAATCTGCGTAGAAGGTCCAGAGTTTCTGGCAGCTGAAGTCAGAGAAACCATCATTCTCCTAGTGACAGTTATTGATAGCTGAGAACATTGCGGGAAGATGAGGAGAAGGGTAACTGTTGAAATTGAAACCTGTTAATCAACAGAGCGATTTAGAAGAGAACTAGCAGGCATACTCTGCAACCCATTGCGTGTTGTTTCCTAGTTCAGGAATGTAGTGGAAGGACACTGCTGCTCATGTCTCCTCTCCTTTCAGGGTTCTTTGAAATGAAAATGAAGTATGATGAAAGTGATAACGCATTCATTCGAGCTTCCAGAGCTGTCACAGACAAAGTCACTGACTTAATAGGTAATGTTTCATCATTGCTGTGAAATTGCATCTCCAGCCTTTTAGCTCTGTTCCCAGTGACTGTCAGTGCTGTTGCCCTCCATGTGTTACTAACCTTTGGGACAGATTCTGGAGCTTTATAATACTTTGCATGGATCATTATCCAGTATCATGCAGCGTAGCAACCTGCTACTGGATCAGAAGTGCAGTGCGATGACAAGTGCTTGTATGGGATAAATCTCAAGCTTAACTTAAAGTCTGCAGTTGTTCCCAGGTGACTCTTCCTTCCCTCTGGTATATAACCAAAGGTCTTTCTCGTGTTTTCTGGCGACAGTTGTCATGCCACCAGTCTCACTGAATTGTTTTATTAGGTGGATTGTTCTCGAAGACAGAAATGTCCGAGGTTTTGACAGAGATACTCAAAGTGGATCCATCCTTTGACAAAGATCGGTTTTTAAAGCAATGCGAGTATGATATAATCCCCAATGTCTTGGAGGTAAGGTGGAGGTAGAGTATGATGCATTTGTTTTATTTTTTTCCTTTACTGTAACATAGAAGATTTTTCTTTTATTTTTCTGATGCTAAAATTAAAAGGTGGGACAGTATTTCCTTCTCAAGCATCCAGCTTTGCAGAGAACATGAGATAACCTTGGGAAAAAGAAGTTGGATCCCACTTAACAATTTAGTTTAAAACCATATTTCATAATTTAGTAGACTAGCAGTTGCTTTGCAGAGAACATGAGATAACCTTGGGGAAAAAAAAGTTGGATCCCACTTAACAATTTAGTTAATTTTTTTAGGGTTTTTTTTTTCTGGCCTGGAAAACAACTAACCATCTTCTCCCATGAGAAATGATATGGGCATCAGAGGGATCAAACTGAAGTAGGTGAATGAACAGTCCTGGGCAAATGATGATCTCAAATATTGATAAGGGAAAGAATGTACTAGGTACTACTGGATTCTAAGTGATCTGTAACTGCTTGGGGAGAAGACCAGGTCATGACAAATGGTTCACTGAAAATATTTCTGGCACTAGTCAAGGAAGTATGTGGAACTTAATACTTCTAAAGACTAAAGTATAAAACCACTCAGAGGATAGCACTGGTGAAGGATGTGACCGCAAGTATAAAAGGATATAGTTCCTCTCACTGTAACAGTGAGAGGTTTTGTCACTGCTGTCTTTGTAGCGACTGACTTGTGTATCAGATCTGTGACTGGAACTGTAGTGTCGACAGTGAAATAAGACAGACCTGTCGTGGTGGATCTGCTTTTCCTAACGGTGCCATGTCACTACAGCAAGCTGCAAAAAAATACGCTCTTGACTCTTGGAGAATGAATTTTTCATAGGAGAGGTTTTTTCAAACTGTAGGCAGCCAGCTTACAGATGCCATCAAGTATGAAGATTTATAGGCATTCGACTGAAAAACGCCCTGCCGCGTATAACTAACTTTATTTTGAAATCTGCTAAATTCCCAGCATCTGTCTTGTTATGAATTCCAGGTCTTTATTACACAGTGTTTTAAAGATAAACCTTTTCATGAGTTGCAGCGTGATTCTTCTGTTCATTCTGTGCCCTGAATTTTTCGCAGTCTTGAAAACTGTAGATCTACTTCTGGTTTGTACTCCTGCTTCTGTTAGATCCCACCTCCCAGGATTTCTGGGTAGTGTGCATTCTGCTGACTTTTTGGACAGGAAGGTTTAAGATAGCTTTTATCTTAATTATCAAAAGGTTTATGTACGTCTGACTCAGTATGTGTGTGTTTATAGAAGTTCTTATTGCTGTTCCTCTTTGAAGCTCCTATCCTACTTCAGGGTTTCACAAGATGTAGGAATTAAAGTAGTTTGCTGCTGAAAGTGCTGATAATTTCAACTCTCTGACATAGGAGGCGTTTTAAAATGTTCATATTTTATTTGATTTTCTCTTTTAGGCTATGATGTCTGGAGAGCTTGATATCCTCAAAGATTGGTGCTATGAAGCGGTAAGTAGAGCTACTAAAATTGTCTGAAAAGGTAACGATTCTCTCTTGTAAGTAGGTGTATTATGCTTTCTTTGCTTGCAGGCTGTCCAACTGTTGTATCTATGATGTTGCTTACCTGCTTTGCCCATCTGCTTCCCCATCTAACATGTTAATACTGTAAAACACTAACGCAGTCAAGTGTACGTGCTGGACTTCTGGAATAGTCTGGATATGAGAGGAGAGCTGTTTAGAGACAGATAGCGAATCGAGAGCTAAGCTCAAACTAGTCTTAACTAGCTCCAGTTCTGCACTGCCCTTCTTGATTTGGGTGGGCTTTATTAGAGCCTGGATCCCAGATGTGGGGTGAGAAGGTGCAGAGACATTTGAGCTGACCCAAAAAGGTGATGCTTTTCTGCTTACAGGGTCAAGTTGTCCCTGGAGCTACTATACAAACGCAACTCCACTGCAATATCCCAGCAAATAATCCTGGCAGGCTGAAGTTTTTCTGAAATTGCAGCATAGATAATCTGCAGCCTGGGTAGTCTCACTGCAGAAAACTGAATTTTGTTTTGCTGTACAAAAACTGTTTTGTTTTTGTACTGGGATAGATTTTCAGTATTGGATCCACTTCTTGAAACGGTGAATATGAATTGGTTGCAATTCAGTGATTGTATTATTGTCCACTTAACTTCATGAAAGCAGATCCTTTCCTGACAACATAGATGGACACTTGTTCTGGTCTTCACTCTGCTCCAAAATAACTGTGTTGTAGGCAACGCAGAGCCATAGTTGTTCTGTTTCTAAAGAATTTAATTGCTTAAAGTGAATGGTCTCCTTACTGATCACCACCACCAGAGGGCTGGAAATGCGCACGCTGGAAGAGGCAATTTTTCATATTTAATTTTTTGTGCTTAACATCTTTGTAACAATATTGCAGTATGTAAGAGTAAGATATTTAAGGCAGTCTGAAAGTAAAGAAAGTTCTTTATTGGTTCAAGCAACCTTTGAAATGACTCCGTAGAATTCCTCTCAAATCTCTACAGGGAAGTAGCAGATTCACTGCAGCTTATAAGACAAAAAGCAAGCCCTTCTAAGCTAGCTGTAGTTATAAATTAAGCTCGTAAGTCAAGAATCATCTGTAAAACAAGCCAAGGGAGGAAATGGGAGTCCTATTAATGAGAATCCAGGAGATAAAGGCTCTTGAACAGAATTATGCCACAAGTGTTAAGTTTGTGATACTGGTCACTAAAGTGTTGGAATACAAAGCAGTAAGGCAAAAACTTATTTAAGTGGCAGGTAACGTGCTGCCAGCCCACTGACTTAGATATAGTTTGTGGCTCATAGAGCTGTGTCTGCCTACTGTCCTCCGAATCCCTGATCTGTAGCTCCAACTTCACTCTAGTGACTTTGCCAGTATACTTCTGTAGGATACTTGCATTTAAATGCTTGTGATGAAGGTTAGAAGATCCGTGGTGGGGAGGTAGGTAGGGACTGCCTCCTGTTCGTTCATACCTGCCAAGAATATGGTGATAATGCTGGAAGCAAGTAGAAATTCACTATCCCCAACAACAGTTCTCGATGCATAAATAATGAAGCATATGTGCATGTGCCTAAAAGGAGCCAGAAAACGCTGGTCTGCCTCCAGGGTCTGGCTGGGTATTAGGAAAATAGCTTGGTTCCCAGACTGTTTCTCCTTGTCTGCTGTCAAATAGCAAGTGCCTTGGCTATCAGGTGCGCTTGCTGTACATACTCTGTTGTGAATGATGGATCTCCTGTTCTGTCCAGGGGCGGTGGGTTTTTTAGTGAGAATTTGGTTATGCAAAGCCCAGAGCATTTGATGTAGCTGTTTGATACCTTGTAAGACATGTGTGTTCAGCATATTTGTAAAAAACCTGACTTTTATTCTTATCTGTTTTGATGGTTCTCTCTAAGCAGAAAATCCCTTTTTCTTTGTGACAGAACAAATTCAAACGTGTAACGTGTTTGTTGCTTCATTTAGACTTACAGTCAGCTTGCTCATCCCATCCAGCAAGCCAAAGCCATGGGTCTCCAGTTCCACTCCAGGATTCTTGACATTGACAACATTGATGTGAGTGTCCTTTTCTGTATTTCACCTTGGGGGATGAATTAGAAACTCAGGACCTGAGGAGGGGTTTTTTTCTTGGCTCTGACTGCTGGGTTTTTTGCCTCACGGCTGCTCTGGTATTTGCCATTTCTGCTAACAGAGGAACAGATCACTGCTGCTGGAAGGGAGAGCAGATTCGCTACTGTGTGATCAAGCCTAAGTTACAGCATTGTGGTTTGTCTCCTCTCTGTCAGGGCACCTTGGTCTAAATCACCAGCATATAGATTGAGAAAGGCTAATAATAAAGGCAGATAGCTCTGACCCAGTGCTTTCATGAAAGGCTTTGTTGGCGCTTTCTCTGGATGATAATGCGCAGTACTTCTGTGACTTGAGGTTGTGCCGTGCAGGAATGGCTATTAGAGAGACTTAACCGCTGTTCTGGGTGGCTCTTGATGAGTAGGGAGGTAATGGCTGTGAGTGGAGCCGTCGCCTCCTTAGGAGCAGTGTTGGTAGCTGGGGACTGCGGCCAAATGTCTGCACAGTCGTAATGCTCTCAGCGTTCTCCTGTATTGAGGAGCCAGAGGTGTTATTGTTCCAATTAGCAGTAAGTCTACAGTGGTACTTCCATTTAATTAGATCTTTTGTGTCATCTGTCACTGGCCCCCAAGTTTTCTTTCAGATCTTTCCTTCAATGGCAAAGGTATCTCAAAGAAATTACCCCCTTTAGTCAGACCTTTCATATCCCACAACCAGCTCTGCCTCAAAGGAAATGTGCAAGGGCAGGAGGGGAACAGGGCAGCTGTACACTAGTGCTTTAAAACCTGGAAATAGTCTGAAGTCAGATCAGCTGTTTGCCTTTGTCATCAAAGGCGCTAACTCAAAGGCAGCAACATTCACTACATGCTTCTGTTGGAACCAAGTATTATAGTATACTTGTCCAATGTACTGCAGCTGTGCAGTATTATCCTCAATAAAATTATACGCCGGATCCAGTCAGACAATTACCGTAAAGCCAACTGCAGGGTCATTCCTGTAGGAACAGAGAACACAGAGCTACTTAACAGGGGTCTGAACCCAGAGGTGATCCGGTCCAAGGTAAGGAAGCAGAGGATTGGAAGCTTTCAGGCAGAGATGGAAATGGAGCATGGTGATAAAAGGACGCTGTTCAGAGAGTGAGAGCTGTTCCAGATGTTGTTGGGTGTATTGGCTGGCCAGATGTTTCTTACTTGCGGTCACAAGACAAGAAGTCAGGAAGGATTCAGCAACCGTCATGGAAAACCGAGAGAACAAAGTCTGATGCTGTTGGGGGTTTGCTTGAAAGGAGGACTACCGATGGTGATTTTTCTCTATCTGCAGCCCTGTGCAGGAGTCTCTCTTTTTGTGCCCACATCGTTAAAAAACTGGAGTGGGTGCAGGAAAGCTCCAGAAACATCTGAGCAAAGGCCCTACAGCAAGAGACTTAGTTTGACCTGTGTAGCCCTACAGAAGATCAGTGGGAACTGACTTGATTAATGACCACGTATCTTCACAGGGAGCAAGAATGTCATCTGCAGGGCATCTCCTAACACAAAATGCTATTGTCTGGTCCTCTTCCTAGGACCGTTTTGCCTCGGTGTCTGATAGGCTTCGCATTTTCTCTCATCCATCTGGGTTCAGAGGAAGCCATTCCTACCTCTTCAGTAACTCTGGATATTAACTGCAAGCATGTGCCAAATGAGCAGGAAAATTTCTGTGGCATCTGCAATTCTCTTGATTATCTTCAGCAATAAATAATGTGTTCTAACAAAAGTAAAGCTATGGAAGTAATAAACATGATTGCTTTTTTCTAAGCATCTTATCTAAATCAAAGGTTTTTCTGTATTGTTAGTGTCTAGGAGACTCAAGATCATTGTATGCTAAATAATTTTTTTTCCTCTGTAGGTGCTAATTAGTATAGAGCTGTGCACGGATTCTGAGTGGTGGCTGGCAAGACATTTTGTTATTAACTTGTTTTAGATGCCTGTATCTTCGCATGAAGTTTCTCAAGAAAATTGCATCTTCTTAGCTGGAAAATGATTGGCATGGAACATAAATAAGTGCAGTTCTTGTTATGCTGTCTGTATTGCAAGCAAAGGGGATAAAGGGTGTTGGGTGTTCAAATTTTTAAATGCGTTTCCCTAGAGGAGATTTATGGGAGTACGTTGAGTGATCTCATCCAGAAAAAACAGTTCAGTGAGTTTGGAAAAAAAAAAAAACATTTAGAAGATTTAAGGGAATTCACATGCTGCAAAGTTGGCAGTATTAAAATTAAAATCAAGTCTTTCAAACATAAGCATCTGAACTCATGCTCCAGGTACTTGCTGAAGCACTCTCTACTTCACTAGACAACTACTGCCTTTAAATTTAGTGGAATTTTGGATCCTTGATATTTCTTGGGACTATTTATTTGGTTGCCTAGATGTAGTTTTAAGCATGTGACTTGTGAAACGGGGTTTCTGAACTTAGTGTGGGAGGAGTGATGCAAATACTGTCTTGATTATAGAATTTTTCTGGGATCATAGTACTAAAAAATAAAGCGATACCAGTATGGAAGTCTTGGTGCCTATAAGGGATACAGCCTCGTCAGTGATACGGTCCTCCTCCTCCTCCTTGAAACCCACATGCAAATGTATATTGTCAAATTACCAAAGCCAAGAGGTGTCATATAAAATGCCTGTCACGGAAAATGGCCTGACAAAGAGCCGCGAGATCTGGTTTTTGATACTTGGGTGGAAGGCATTAGGCATTGCTGAATGAATCAGGCCAGTACCAGAAATGTGGCGTGGACTGGGATGGTGTGAGTTAATGCAGAGCTAGGGAACCGATTCCCTCAGATTAAGCAAAGGAGCATTGCAGTAGTGCTGAGTTTTCCTCAGGGGAGAGTTAAAAAAAAAAAAAAAAATATATATATATATGCCTTTGTGAATTATGGGACGGTCTTGTAACTGTGTCTTGTGATACATTCTTTATTATGTGATAAAATGCAATGTTTTTGAAACAGTATCTCTCATACACAAAAGAGTATAATCATGCTACCTTAAGTTTGAGGTAGTATGATTACCTTTTTGGGTAACATAGCCAGTAACTCCAGAGTTACTCAAGAGCAAGACACTATTCTGTAGCGTACTGCATTCCCACAGCAGAGGCAGAAAGAGGGTTGTATTTTTTAAGAGTACAGTTTTGGGAAACAAAACTTAATTTTCCATTCCTCTTTGCATGTCAGTCAGTAAGTTCTTCCAATACTTAATGGAGTGATCTTAGAATAGAGAAAAAAATCCTGTCAAACAAAAGGTTCTCACCTTGAAGTCTTTCTGCTACTTAGTTCTTTTTATCTAGTTCACTACAACTTTATGGCAAAGATTCATTTAAAAGCAAGAGAAAAGCACTTCAGTTGATGTACTTTCTTCAGAAAATGTCATTTTTTTAAGAGCAGGGTTTCTTTTGGTTTTGGTTTCTAATTTGGAAATAATGGAACAGAGCTTGTACACATTTCCCAAGTTTTTAGACTTGGAAAAACGATGACAACTTTCAGAACAATTTTGGGAAAGCTTTTAAGTACAGGGAAAGTTTTTGGGGAAAATGCTTTGCAATGAGGTCTACAGCATCTGTATGAACAAAGCAGGTATAACCTGATTAAAATAACTAGATTCAGCTCGGGGAGAAGATGGGACTGTTACCCTTGTCAAGCCATAGCAGTTGTGTTAAATACTCGATGCTTTTACATTAATCTGCAGAAATCGTCTGTTTTCTAATGGAATTTTCTTTCATTGCAGCTGGCTATGGGGAAGATGATGGAGCAGGGACCGGTATTAATCATCACTTTTCAGGCTCAGGTCGTGATGGTAATTAAGAACCAGAAAGGAGAAGTGGTGGAAGGTGATCCGGTAAGTGATGCTCATCGGCTGCGTATGGTTTCCCCGGGTGCCCTGCTAGCCATCTCAGTTGTTACGGATTCATCTAGGTGCATCTAGAGCAGTGGGCGTCCACACATACCACAGCCAGTGGTGTGCGTAATATTGCATCTTGCGGGTAAGGTCTTGGTCCAGCTCAGTGTGGGCTATTTATTCCTGTCAGACTCCAAGTGTTATGACCCATTAATCGAGATATGACCCATTATCGTATATGAGGAGAGTCTGCAAACATCTAGAATGGACAGAGAAAGGGGTATTTTAAATTCACAGTGAGGAGAGGAGCTGGAGCTATGACCACCGGCAGCGCTTTCTCTGCCTGGCCAGCACGCTCCCTGCCTGCAGTTACCTCCTGTGAGTTCTGCTCCTTTGGCACCCTCCGGGACAGAATTGATCTATCCTGCTCTTGATTAAAGCTCCATCACACCTTTTCCCTGTTCTCGTTTTTTTTTTTTTCTCCCTTTTCCTTTCATAAAGGGCACCGTAAGAACAGAGCACAATGATGTTTGGTAAACAGGGTGGGAGCTGGAGTTAAAATTTAAGTCATTTGCAAGAGATTGGGAAAATCGCTGTAAACAACTGGAAGTAGAAGTTCATGTTTTTGGCTGCTGCCTCCCTGCACTAGTACAAAATGTCTTACAGTGCCGCAAGCCTTCACTTCCACGAAACTCTCCCATGTCCAGTTGTGTTAAATGCTGTACATGGTACAGGCTTCTAATGGGAACTTCTGACACAGGGTGATTTGTGCAGCAAATCTCTGGCATCTCTGTGGATTGCACTTCGCTGTGGTTTAGCTTTTAACACTGCGAGTCCAGCCTGCGTGTTCTGTTGTGAGCGATGCTAGACTGAGCCTGTCAGATGTAACCACAGAATACGCTTGTTACCAGAGTTAATGACACAGCAGGCTCGAGGAGCCCGTGCTTTTTCTGGAATACCTTTGTTCTCAAGTGGCTCGCTATCCAGACAGCTCTGGCTTGCATTGTGTCTGTGCAATGTTTAAGTAGCTTAATGATATATAATGGGGGACATTGTGAAATGCCTGGAGCTGGCAGTTTCTAGCAGACTGCCATTAAAATTAATACATGCATTTAATAAATATTGGCTTTTTGCAACCATTCTCTTTAGTCCAGGCTGTAAGTTTACAAAAAAAGGGACTGATTTTAATGAGGGGGCCCATCTGGACTGATTTACAACCTGTCACATCAACTGCAGGGGAGGAACAGCTGATATAGTGATTTCTTGCATTAAATTACTGCGTTCCTAGAAGATAGATATTCATGTGATAATTATTGAACAGGATATCAATGTCTGTTTGCTGTCTGATTTCTCTGGAGCAGCAATAAATCAAGGAGATGCATTGAAATTCTCTATTGGAAACAAAACTTAGGCTTTAATCAAATGTCAGATGCAGGCTGGCTGGTAACTATGATTTGGTGTTAACTGCTGAGCTGCTCCTGCGGAGTACTGAACAAATGACGTTCAAGGGAAAAGGAGCCTCAAACTGTAAACTCTAAATAGAAATCATATGCTTGTAATAGCTGCCGTATTTTACCTAGTTGCGATTGTTGAAGTTCCCACTGCTGTGCTGCAAGCTCACCCCCAGTGAGATGTGGGGAGACCAGGCAGCCTGTGGTGGGGTTGGACCAGGTGTTGCAGTAGTTAATGTAGCGGGTCCCCGTGGAGCACCACAAAATCAATCTGGGAAAACGAGGCCTTAGACAACCCATCGAGCAATGCTGCGAAGTCAAGGGAATCTTTTTAAAATTAGGTCCTGAAGGACTGTGAGAGAGGATGCTGTTTGTCATAGCAGACTGTGGGATTAAAGGACAAATTTTCGCCTTGCATGCATGGCCATGATAGAAATCTGCCTTTGGGAGTCCACGCATGTTTGCTGCCCCACTTTCTGTGAATATATGCAGCAGCATGCGCTGTACATTGAGGATTAAGATGTACCCTATTAATTAAAGCACCAGACCAGAAAGCCAGAGATCTCTCCGCTTTGGAAACATGTAATTTTTATGTTTCATCACATCTCATTTCCAGGAAGAAAGCCGTGCTACTCGTTCAGTACTGCATGCTGCGAGATCACCAGCAACTCTAAGCTTATCTGCTATTCATCCCTTCAGAAATCCTGTGTTCAAGAACATGAACTTTTTCGGATGTAGCAGAGCTTTGATGCTGGAGTGTGTGATTGAATTGCCTTTCATACGCAATCTTACGAAACGGACTTTGAAAATCACGAATCACAAAAGTCATACAAATGAAGGTTCCACTGGCAATGTTAAATCAGTTACGTTGCCCCCTTCATCTTGAGCTTATACATAGTGTTTTATACTCGGGAAAGATCTGTGCATTGCTGTGGCTAGTACATCAACGTACAGCCCGTCTCGAGCAGGCAAAAATTTTGTTCTTTTTCTTCTCTTGTCCCCTCTGCTCTTCCTTCTGACATACCCAAACATCTGTATGACTCAAGTTTTCAATCATTTTTAACACTTCTGAGCAGAGCTGAAGCAAGTTAAATCTTCTGAAACACTGAGCAAGAAAAAAATGACTTTATGATATGTGATAGTTCTAAAGCATTAGTTTTTTAATGACTGGTCTGGTACAGAAAGTCTCCTCCCTCACATTCGTGTACCTAAATTATAACCTATAAAGATTCACACATTTGATCAAAAATGTAGTGGTTAAGTACACATCTGGGAGCTGAGCCAATGCACGCTGATCCCTCAGTGATACTTCCTTATCTGGGGGAAATACTCTCCATGGTTGATGGTTAAATGATAAAATCAAAATAACCTTTGATTTGCAGAATGGATCTGTGACACCGTGCCAGACTTGGGCTCCTGGCAGCCCAGTCTCTGATGGGCAGTGTCACCTCTCTCCTGGGAGAGGCAGAGACTTTGTCACAGGTAGCTGCAGTGACTCTTCAGGGAGTTGTTTTCATAAGACCGTGAGTGATGGCCTCAGGATGTGCTGAGATACGGCTTTCATCCTTATTCACTTACTATGAACAAAACCGCTGGCATTCTCATTACATGCATCAAGGATGGAAAAGCTTATAGCTCTGTTTCAGTCTGTAACCCCGTATGGTGAAAGCACTGTCTGCACAGCAAAGATTTGATTGCAGAATTAGTGTGTGTCTGTGGCTAACGCTGTGGCTGGGCTTGGTTTGATCTGATTTTCATTGATAAATGTTGGGTTTTTTTACTCTCTGGCTTTCCTCAGACCTGGTGATGATAATTTCTGGTTAATTTGAGCTGCTCGAATTGAGGTGTGAGAGCTAGTGATATGGCTGTGGGGAGGGGATGCAGCTCATGGGCTGATGTGGGAGAGGCAGAGTTAGAGCCACAGGAAAGAGCCTAAACTTGATTGAAGGTTACAGAGAGCAGTACAGCCTGGCGGCCGAACCAATTTGAAACCAGAAATTTATATTTAAAAATAAGGTCAAATATTATCGAACTTGGCAGTGGTGCCAGTTAATGTATGTCAGCCAGAGAGATTTGGAAACCCTAGTTCTGTTTTTGGAAATCAAAAGTTTATCTGTTCCTGGCCGTGGTAAGTTTCTAACAAGGATCTAGTAGATGTTGCTGGAGCTGTCCTTATCGGGGACCTTCGGGCTTAGAACCAGAGAGCGAAATCACAAGAACAATCTCTGGAGGAAGTGTGGAGCATGTCCCCATCAGCTCTGAGCCAGGAGGTCTGTGACCATCACGCACGCTCTAACGACAGGGTTTTCCTTCCAGGACAAGGTTCTGCGGATGCTGTACGTGTGGGCGCTCTGCAGAGACCAGGATGAACTCAACCCGTACGCTGCGTGGAGGTTATTGGACATTTCCTCATCGAGCACTGAGCAGGTTCTCTGAGAAGAATCGCATCCAAGGGCTTCCTTGAAGCGACGCCGTCTCTGAACTTGCGCCAATCTGCCGTATGATGGACTGTGGGGGAAAGAGGCTAGACTGGTTCCTTTTCAGAAGAACAGGCTGTTCGGTGTGCCCTCATTATACCAATCCCTATAACGAACTGGACGAGTCTGACATATCTGCCTTACGCTTTGCTGTGTAGTACTGCACTGTAAGGATGTATGGTAGATTTCAACGTGAATGGTCTAAGGCACTAGCAGTTGCTGTTGGCTCCTTTTTTAATTGTGGCTGAAGGAGGCTGGTTTGGGTCCTGTATGTTTCCCAGCGCTTCCAGTGATGGACAGAGGTGGGTATCGGAGGGTGAGGTGTGACAGGTCTAGTTCCCATCTGCTGTCATCCTCTGGTGGCCTCAAAGCATCCCTGAAAAGATCTTAGAGGTGCTTTTAAGGCACCTCTTAGCTAACATACAGAGTTGTCTCTTGTACAAAGTTGCACCGATAAGCCTTCTGTTGCTGCAGTGTCTTGCACTTTACCAAATCAAATACAATCAGGACTTTGCACATGACTCTCTGTTGGCGTGGAGCGGAGTCAGGGTGGAGGTGTTGGCATCATCAGGCAGGTTCTCGAGGCCGGTTGCAGGGGTGGAGTTTGCTGCCAGTGATAGTATTTATATATCCACAGCTTTGCAGGGGGAACGTCATTGTTTCTGGTGTTCTGTTCATTGTGTCAGCTGGTACCACTAAAGAGCGCACAACTGCATTTCTCTGCTGGGTTAATCTGATGGTGTGGAGGAGACAGGCGGTAACTGGCTGCGGGGAAGCAGGCAGAGCGCTAGAACAGTCGTCAGGGGTAGGGGTGGACAGACTTGCAACAAACGAGTAAATAAAATGCAATAACGGGTAGAACATCACCTCTTGTAGCTCAGGTATTTATTACGTGAGATGAGAAAAGAGGGTGCAGTTCACACACCTACTGCGTAAAGTGCATTACGAGCATGGCTTTCGTCACCAGATGGGCTTGGGCTTCGGGGGGACGGCACACCTGGCCTGGGGTAGCAATTGGAAGACGTCGGAGGGTGAGCTGCTGGCACACTTACACAGACTCGAGGTTTTGGGCTTCTGCTGGAGGCTCAGTTTGGGAGCTGTGATGTGGGTCGATTCGTCAGCTGCCTCCTCTTAATGGAAAGTGAGGTTGGGGGACAAAAAATTGATCGTGGAATAGGAAATCAAAGGACTGATCTGCTGCTGTGTTCTGCCTGTGCACAAAACAGGGCGATGCAGGACAGCACTCCCTTGACATTATGATTAAAGAGAATAATTCCCAGTTCTTCCTTCTCTTCTGAGCGTCCGGATCAGTTCCTTTGAATGCAAATGGGATTATCTCACAGCCCTTGGGTGAGACATTTAACTCTAGCAGCTTTCTTAGAGTGAGAGGTGATGAGTGCGGCAAATTCAATAGCGGAGTCTGCCCTGTCCCCTTAGAAGATGCCCAGACCTGCTGTCTGGCTGCCACGCTAGGTATTTCTGCCACTCTCGGGGCAGGCTGTGGGTGGGACGTGGTCCCTCGCTGCCTTCCTCTTCACACAGTTTTCTCCCTGGTGCTTTTGCCAGTGAAATAATTTCAGATTTTTACTCAGATACCTTAAGCGCTAGTACACAAACTGAAGAGCTGAACAGAATAAATTCCACAATGCAGAAATCGGCTATGAAATAGGGAATCCCTGTATCTGACTGCCTTCAGAAATGGTGGATGAATGTTTGATGTGGGCCTCACAAACGTGAGGCTCTTTCTGGGACAGATCCCATCTAACATCTCTGCACGCAGGCTGTATCGTGTGTGCGGAGACTTATCCTTTATTTGAACATCTGGACCACTGAGTGCCAATGCAGCGTTGACAATGAATGTCTTTGAGATGCTTCTTGAACCTCCTCAGGGATGGGGAAAGCCTCGCCGCCGAGACCGTGCAGAAATTGAGTCAGTGCCCTCCGAAAGTAAAGACTGGTCATCTCCTGCCCTGCTTCCTCAGTAGCTGGATGCAGGCAGTCGCCGATCAGACAGGAGTCTACAACCGCCTGGGTACGTATGTGCAACCTGTTGACCAAGTCTTTTGGGATGCTTCTACGAAGCACGTGCAAAACTTCTTTTACTCGGTGTGCTTTTCACTTTTTTTAAGTGGACTTGGAGGGAAACAAAAAAAAAAGATGTGATTTAGGAGTGTAAAAGTAATTGGTCTGCCCAGGACAGCTGCAGTAACCCAGCCGTGGTGGGTTAGCAGTATCTCACGTTGGTTGGCTTAACCTGCGAATGCTGGGTCGCAGTTTGCGCCGGCGGTCGGCCCTGCCTGTCCCCAGCGAGCAGAGGGGGCAGAGCTGGTGGTGCCCCGGTGATAATGCTGATACAGAAAATCCTTCCCTGCACGGCAAGTTGTGCTGGCTGCTCCCTGTGGGGGCTTCTGGCATGGACGCGGGACGTTTCCTTCAGCTGCTGTCTTCCCCGCTGCTCGTTAGCAGCTTTTCTCCAGAGATGCAGGGGCATGAAGGCAATTGCTGAAACGAAATGAGATTTAAGCCATGGAGGAGGGGCGAGGGTTAACCACCCTAAGTTCTCTACTGGTGACTGCCGCATCTGCCAGGCGTTCACCACAGTCCGGTCTGCAGCGGGGGTTCGTTGGTCACCTCGGGGTTCGAGGTGACTCGGCGCTAAATCCACTTCTCGGTTTTTCAGCAAAATCGGCGCGTGATACGGGGCCTGGGGAGCTGGGGGATGCCCCTCCCTGTGAGCAAGCTGGTGAGCTGCTGTCCTGGCTGGGTCAGAGAGCCCCAGGACCCCAGAGGGAGCTTCAAGAAGCAGCAGAAATTACTGCTAAAATGAACCGTCTCTAAGCTCTGCTCGTCTCGGAGAGATCCGTAGTGGTTGTGGGAGAGGTGGAGGCTGTCTCTGCCTGGCTCTTCCTCTCTCAAACCTTTGCCCAAGCCCAGACTCGGATGGAGCCAGGGACTCCGCACCCCCCATCCCTTTTTGGATGCTGTTAGGGGGTCTGGTGGACCTCCGGGCCTGTCGGATCTGCCGCTTTGCTTGGCAGAGCCTCACTGGGATGGGATGGGAGTGGGAGCCTAGCTGCTCGCCAGGCTTTTGAAACCTCTTTACCCACGTCTTGTGGGTCATGACAAGCATCCTCTATAGCGTGTGGGAAGGTGTGTCTGTGGGCAGGATCCTGCCCGAGGAGGAACCCATTTCCCCCTCGCCTTGGGAGATCCCTCGTCCCCAAACCCCGACTGCTCTGCGCTAAAGGGACAGTGGAGAGATTTCACTTGCTGCGTCTCAGAGGGGAGTGTAACTTAATTATTTTTTTAGCTCTTGGGATAATGAATTACTTGGGATTTTATTTTTTTTTTTTTAAGTAATTGCAAGTAGCAACCTCCTGGGAGGTACAGATAGTTTGGATAGAAAGGCAGTGCTCAGCCTGCACATAGCAGGAGGAGGATTTTAAATTATTTTTAAATACTTCTCATGAGTGAGCAGATTTACAGTGGGCTGTAAATATTTTGCAGCACTGAGTTATAGTAGCACCGCGCAGGCCTGGGCTTGCTGGCAGCCACCACAATGGCACTGCTGTAAAGGCATTGTTGTGTGGAGAGATCTTGGTGGTGCTTATAAATCTCTCCTAAAAAAAAAAAAAGATAATGAGTCAAACTGGTACAGGGAGAGCACCCGGGACGGGGAGATCTGCACCCATGGGCTGCATCTCGGGGCTCAGCCTCTCCAGCCTGTTCCACTGGGGATTAAATATGATAATAATAAGTTTAGTGGGGATGAAGGTCTTGCACGGGCCCGGCTCTCCAAGATGGGGCTGGGGTTGAGACGGAGCCAAGTTAGCAGTGGTGGGGCAGGACCTCTGAAAGTGCTAGTCCAACCTCCTGCTTGGAGCAGCCTGGTGCAGTTTTGGAGATGCCAAAGGATGGATGTGGGACCTGGAATTGCTTAATCCTGGGGCCACGGGGTCACCGTGGCACACTTGATCTGCCTGATGCCTTGCAAGCCTCATCTGTTGAGTGAAGTTGCTGGTACTACACTAACCCTCCCCTTTCTGCTTTCTCCTACAAGAACCAACGCAAAGCCAAAAGTACGTACACGTAAGTGTCACTGTCCCTGGTTTCCTTCAGCGGTCACACGTGGGCTGTGCGTGGCATCAGGGGGTGCAGGGTCCGAGCCGGGCAGGGAGGGAAGGGTCACTGCAGAAATCTGACTGCTAAAAGAGTGGAAATACCTGGAAAGCATCGCATCATCCTGCCGAAGGGGCTAGAAATGAGGCTGGGGGTGGCTCGGGAGGAAGGCTGGTACCCCGTGCCAGCACAGCGGTTAGGGCGTCCCTGTTGTTGCTTTGAAGCACCAAAGGTCCCTCTGCCCATTAAATACGAGCACGAGGGTCGTGGTGAGACCCAGGCACATGCTCCTGATCCCGCAGCAATCTGTCCCCGCACGTGGGAAGAAGCCTTCCTTAGCCACAGGTTCGGTGTTTGGCTTCTAACATTTCCCTTACTCTTTTGCACAGAGGCGTTTTGAAAACTTTTCTGCTTGATAAAGAGATTTGGGATCATTTGGGATCATTGCGACACCACCGTGAATCTCCGAGTCAATACCACGTTACGCACTTTAATAATTTTACCACCACATTGATTCTGTATATCGAAAAAAGAGATTTATGTCTTTTCCTGGATTACCTGCTGCAGAGAAGCTGTCATTACTGCTGTTTCTCGCAACAAGACTCTTCCCTCAGCCCCAAATTTTCTTGTCCCTCCTCCAGCACTGGAGTCCCATTTCACAGGTCTCACCGCACTACAACTTGTGCAGGGGTTTAGATAATTGCTATTTTTCTTGGCTACGCTCTGCAACCATATTTAATCACTTGCAGTAGTATCTTTTGCCAGAGTACCGCATGCGTGTTTGCGAAGCCTGGTTTAACTCCGCTTTAAATATTAAATACCACTCGTCGTGTAGCTGGTTACTCGCTGTACTCTGTCAATATGAAAACGTGCAGCTTGCTTGACGAGCGCTTTTCAAGTCGGAGACGCGTCGGTCGCTGGCTGAAACCGCGTGTCCCCGGCTGCTGTTTGCGTAGATGCGTTCAGCAGCCTGCGTTGGTGGGGAAGCGGCAGTGATGGAGTCCTGGGAGAGCCACTTAGCGGTGAACCCCTTGTGCCGGCACGCGAGACAATCATGGTGGCAACGGATGCTCTTCAAACCCTCCTTCTTGGGGAGAGGACCCCAAACCCAGATCACCCCGGCCATCACACTGGAAAGGCCAGGGGGAGTGGGTCCTTGTCACAAAGGATGTCACACCCCCAGGTGGCCACAGCCAGGGCCTCCCTAGGTCTTCGCGGGGCTTCCCGAGACGGACCGCCCTGGCACCGGACGGCGCTTGTAGGTGTCCTCGGCTCCCCGGAGTGATCGCAGCTCATGGCGATGGGATGCTGGAGCCAGTTTTTGCGGTCTTGGCCGGTCCGGGGCAATGTGGCTGTGGTCGCTAGGAAGCGTTGGAGCGTGCTTTAAACACGCCCCCTCCACCTAGGCTCTAGCTCCTGGGCTGAAGAGCCCGGCCGCTGCCTGAACACCTTGCTGAGCAGCGGCGCAGGGCTCGACCGCGGGACCCTGGCCCAGCAGGGACGAGGCAGATGGAGAAACAATTCTGGCCGGTGGTGCGAGTTCCCCGTTCCTCAAGCAGGGATGGGTTTGCACCCGGGTCAATGCTGACCCACTGGTGCCTTGCGGCGAGGGGCAGGCCTGTCCCTGCAGCGCACTGAGCTGAGCCTGTCATCTGCTTGAAGGTTTTGGCCTCGCAAAGGGCAACTTTTTCTCCTTTTCCCCACCGAGGAGAAGCAGCTGGCAGGAGAGGATGCTCGGCGGTGGGACGCATCTGCTAGCAGCGGGGTCAGCGTGTCGCCAGAAGCACGTGAGATCTAGCATTGTGCAGCCCGTGGGGATATTGCGAGTGAATGAGGGTGAATTAACCCAGCTCTAGTGTCTGGGGACACTGCTGTCCTTGTCGCATGCCAGCCCCAAGCCTGTTCTGGTTCCTGGCAGCCCTTCGGAGCTGCCGCTGCATGGCTCGGCGCAGGGGGTTATTTAACGCGTGTCTCTCTATTAACAGGGTGTCAGATCAGGGCAATGGGAGTTACAGCCTCGCGGGATGAGCCTGCTGTGTCTGGGGGCCGAGTTCTGCTCCGCTGAGCCTGTTCCCGATTACCTGGACGTGATCTGCGCTGTAAGATGCTGGCAGACATGTTCTCGCCCTGTTCCCCGCCGGCCTCTGCGGCGGCGCCGCACAT